CTGACACTCGGCACGTCGTACGCGTGGGATGCATATTCATGACTTACATGTACATGTACCACATGTACCTCTACTATGCAATGCATGAAAGCACGTGCTGATTTAAATTTTGTATGCAGAACCAATGTCAAGTCATGGGGTTGTCAAGATGTACCGGTCACACGCGGCACGTCATACACGCAACAGCACCGCAAAGGCGTTGCGGAACAGAAGTTTCAGTTTCATAGACTTCAGCATTACTTCTGCTGGGCTGGTGCCAGGGACCGAACTAGTCTTGGTTGCAAAAGGTTCTATTTTATTTGGTTCAAAAACCAGCAGCAGCTAGAGGGCTTGCATCATAATCAACTATTTTGCTGCTTATTTCAGAATATTGTGTACTAGACTGCCGGACTACCCAGATGAGGGCTTTCGCTAGACCGCCGTGGTTTTTTACTCGAATTTGGCTAGCGACCAGCATTAAGGTCGAACCATGACATGGGCCAACTGGCTTAAAATAGACCATGACTGAATCAACTGGCTTAGGCTGACAGTCATACATATCAAGTCTGTAATGAGTGAAGCCACTCACCTGTTGCTTTACCTGTAGTTGTCACACTTCTAGCCTCAGCCATACCTGTTGGACATTGACTTTAAGCCCAAAGCTCTAAAGTGGCCTGTTCAAAAAGTACAACATTTTGTTGTACTTTCCCGAGGACATATATTTGCCAATGCAGCCGGATCATAATGCCACTTCCTTTTCTTATCTTTACCAGGTGTTGAAGGCAGATGACAGCCTGGTTGGTCCCCTGCCTGTTGGCTCACCTTTTGGCATCACTGCCCTGATAGAGTGAAGTGATAGCAGTGTGGTTGGTTCCCTGCCGTTGGGCTCATTTTCTGACATCACTGGCCTGATAGAGTGAGGTGATAGCAGCATGGTTGGTCCTTTGCCTTTGAGCTCATCTCCCTGGCATCACTGTCCTGATAGAGTATGGCGAGAGCAGCATGGTTGGTCCTTGGCTTGTAGGCTCATCTTCTGACATCACTGTCCTGATAGAGTAAGGCAAGAGCAGCATGGGTGGTCCTTGGCTTGTGGGCTCATCTTCTGGCATCACTGCCCTGATAGAGTAAGGTGATAACAGTGTGGTTGGTTCCCTGCCTTTGGGCTCATTTTCTGACATCACTGGCCTGATAGAGTAAGGCGAGAGCAGCATGGGTGGTCCTTGGCTTGTGGGCTCATCTTCTGACATCACTGCCCTGATAGAGTAAGGTGATAGCAGTGTGGTTGGTTCCCTGCCTTTGGGCTCATTTTCTGACATCACTGTCCTGATAGAGTAAGGCAGTAGCATTGTGTTTTGTTCCCTGCCTGTGGGCTCCNGTCATTCAAAAGTGGTAAAATTGAGCCTTGTTTTTGTTGGTTGTCGGAGGAAAAAGTAGTGGGAAAGATGTGGAAGTCACGTAAATCAAAATCATACAACAGTTATTATTGGATATTCCACGTTTGATGTGATACCAAAAGAACAACAGATTTACAGGCTGTCCTCTTGCTCGTGCAAAAAAATTGTTTTTCGTTTGTGAATGAAAAACCTATTAAAACTTTTCCTTTTCTTGTTTTTTTGGGACATTTCCTGTGTTTAGATTTTGGGAGGCTTGATTTGCCAAGTGAATTTACTTCCCATGGTTACCTATGTTAAGGCTGGCTAATGTAGCCCCCACATTGTGATGTGAGTGGACCAACCAACGATGAAATCTCCAAAGTTGAAGAGACAGGTTACCCTGCAGGTTAGAGTCTCATGTGTTACACATGCTTGTAAGGATGTATCTGGGAAAAAAAGCTCGGAAGGAATGGGAGCCATTTCTTTTCTTTTCTTCATTCCCTTGCAAACTGTGTGTAGAAAGCCCCAAATGTATCAAAACCCCTCAAAAAATTGAAAAAGTCAAACAAGTCCGCTCCTAACTCCTGTTTTTTGGTCCTGGATCCACCCTTGACTGATTTTTCTCAAGTCTTTGAACAGTT